CCTAGGACGACGCCGAACACCTATACGGACGATTAATCACTCGGTACGGGCGTAACAAGTACGGAAAATCTAGATGAACTCGCTTTTAAAACAACAAAAAATTTCCCTAAAATCTTGGCGTTGATCAAAGAGAAAATTAAAAGAAAGAATTAAAGGACTTCGATACTCAAGAGGTAATTTTCACAACAAGTGGGAGTCGTTTAATTAACCATAATCTAGGAATATTTCGATTAAAAGAATCAAATTGAAGTTAATATTTTTTACACTTACGGTATATCATGAAATATTTTCGCAAAAGTATTGGCAATAGATTCGACAAATGTCCCCAATGAAAATGAGTCCAAATAACGATTCGAACGACTTTTAATTACACGTTATTGACTATTTTTTTTTTTCGAATTTTTGTCGCTCGATCAACGCATAATTAAATGTAGTCCAGATGGGGTCGACTTTGGACTCTTTTTCGTTGGGGAAATGTTGCCAATCTATCGATAGATTTTTCATGAATATTGACTAGGAAGAATAAAAGCATTCGTTTAGAGTGTGATCAAAACGGCTCATTCGATACCGAAACTAAAAATCGTCATATTTATCACTAGGCCTTCGGAAGAGTATTTTTGACGGGTTCGCGACATTCGCCTGATAAAAATGAGTTCAAGCGCAACCTTGTTCGAACGATTTTTATTGTCGCGAATAGGCAAGCTTTTTTGGAACTTTTTCCTCATTCGAGAATCATAGAATACAAATAGATTGAATGGGGCCGTGTTTGGGCATATTGTCATCGGGTAGTCGTCGATCGATTGTTATCTTTCGCGAAGATAGAACGATAAAAATAAAGGTGTCATGAGACCATTTTGTTTTGCGCCCGAAGCAATGGTACGATACATTTCACCCGCATTTGGCGTATAATTGCGGGGAATGTATCACGTGGCGCAGGAATCTTGTAATACGAATCCAGTCTGGCGCTATAAGCAGTGGGGAGAACCGGGTATCTTGGGTCCCTCGCGTAAAAAGAAGCGCGAGGAAGGGCCGAAACAAAGAAGTGGCAGAGGGAAGGTACGCTGTAACAGCGTTTCTTTCACAGCCGCGCGTTAAGGACTTTTTGATGGCGTCTGATGCTCGTTGCCCACCTTTTTATAGACGATTATTGCGAAAACTTTTAGGTGATGGGGTAGGGGAAGGCCGAGAGCCCTGTACCGTCGTTCTTTAACGCGACCCAACGGCTGGAACTCGAAGAAAAAAGTGCCGCTTTGGAAAGTATGGATATTAGGGAGGCCACGTTACAGAAGATGAAATCTGGCTGGGTGCCGTTATTAGAATTTTTTCTCATTAATATCTTTCGGTACCATCAAATTCTTGATCTAGTTCGTGATGTAGACTCGGGGGTGAGGTGTTTAAGGGTAGCAAAAAATGTAATTTTACGATCCCATTCCTATTACGGAGCATCTGGTGCCTTATTAGTTGATGTTGTTGGTTTACTATTTTCGAGGGAAAACTTCGAGGGATTGAGTATTATGTATTTAAGTAACGCTGTACCAGTCAAATATTTAGATAGTATTCATATAGTATTCAAAAAGTAAGGTATTTAAACAGAACTCGGTAACTATACAAATAGTGCTCGAATAGTCGAGCATTTGAATGGTTCCTAGTATTCGAATAGTCAAGTATTTGAATACTACTCAACTAGCATTCGAATATTTCGAGTGCTCTCGAATTATAATATCCGAATTATATTTGCCGAATGCTCGAACGATCGAGGTGTTGAACTCTAATACCGAAACATTCGACTAGTAGTCCCCCGGTCGACCTCCAACGCGACTGTTGCCACCGTGCGCGGAAACAAACGAGTTAATTCGTCTCCCGGGACCAGGACAAGGCTCCACGGCGTCGGCGGGAAGTTCGTTTCCACGCAAACCTGTTTTCCAATAGGTAGAACGCGCCCCCGTGGAGCGGTAAACAAGTGACGCGCGAAGGACAACAGTTTCAAACTCGACCGTCTATTTCTCGAGCGTACTATATCGATAACTATTTTTACACTCGGAACGCAGACTCCTCGGTCCGTTTGGCGACGATCTTGAACTCGCACTATTCGAGGCAGCGCACTGTTGCCCATTGCTTTGCCCGAAGTCTTTGTCGCTTTACAACAAAGACTGATGAAACACTGCTTTTGACAACAGGTGAATAGAAATATTTATTCGAACGTTTTATTCGTACAGTTTCGAATTAATTCGGGTAAATTTGTACCCGGTCCATGTAAACATTCAAAACATTCAAAATCTTACCACGTTTATTTCACTTTTTATAATTTAGACTTATTTTAAATAAGTAATAAATGAAAACACGTTTATTAGAAGCTTTTATCTAGACAATCATTTCGTCATTATAGGTGGTACTACTGGCATGCGGATGATTCTTGGTGTACAAATATATTGATTTTACAAAATACAGTCATCGAGTCAAACGAGGCCAACGAGTCATTCTGAATGAGAAAAACGAATTTGAGAATCCGTTAAATACGTGTACACTGGACCGACAAATTTAGAAACCTGAGAAACATGATTCTCCCTCACGCGTTGATGAATATTCATGACGAAGACGATGATCCAAGACAGGTTTCGTTTTCAGAAAGCTGGCACTGTATATACGTGCCTTATACGATTCAACGAGAAGTATCAAGGAATGTTTCCTATAATTTTTTTTTATATAAAATTATTAAAAGCTCCCGCGAAAGTTCATTCTCATTTTCCTATTAACGTCACCGATACACGCTTTAAAGTGACAATCCTTATAGTAGATTACTAGTGGTCAATATCCTCCACGACACATTTTTAATCAAACACAGTCACTGTATCACTGTACACGTTACACCAATCACGTCCCCTGGCCAACACACGTGCTCAAGACTTTCCCGCATATTTACAGTCAGTCCCATAAATATTCGTACCCTCTACGTCTATTGAAGACAGTTGTTTAAATTAAATGATAGGTTTCATATTTTCATTAACATGTTGATGTATATATAAATATATAAATATGAAAAATTCATTTGGTAATACCTAAACTATTATTTAATTTAGTCAAACTTCTTCAATAGACGTAGAAGGTACGAATACTTTTGGGATTGGCTATACAGGGTATCCCAAAAATGTTGGAGGTCCTTGAAAGGAGTGGTTCGGTAGGTGATTTGAAACAACTTTTTCCTTTGCAAAAATGTCGGATGGGGCTTCGTTAAGTAGATATTAATAAAAAACCCCGAACCAATCAGAGCGCGCGTATACCGTTGGAGCGGCCGGAGTAGCGAAGGCTACGCGCTGAGCGGCCGCGTCAATATCCTTCGATGCACGTCGAGTCACTTGTTGGCGTACGAGAGCCGCTACCTAGCGCGTAGCCATCGCTATCACGGCTGCTCCAACAGTATACGCGCGCTCTGATTGGTCAGTGTTTTCTGTTAATATCTCTTCAACGAAGCCTCGGACAACAATTTCGCTAAGGAAGAACTTGTTTCAAATCACCCCCTGAATCACCCTTTTCAAGGACCTCCAACATTTTTTGAGACACCCTGTATATTAGAGTACAATGACTTTCAAAATCAGAATCTTGCATTAATTAGATGAACTTTCCAGATTCTTAAAAATGAACAAAATTATATTATTCCAACAATACCAAGGTTGCCGTTTCTCGACATTGCCCTATAAATATAATTCAATCCTCCCCTAGCACGATCGATATATCACCAACCTGTTACCCCGCTTTGAAGTGACGTTCTTAAGACTTGACTACTCGCGACGACTCCAGAAGTGAATTCGAGCACAAAGGGTACGAAAAAGGAGCGAGAAGAGGCCTGTTTTCGATTGGTGAAACGGGGAGGACGAGGGTTAGGTCTCCGAGACGAGACGTCGCTACGCGTCATGCATTTCCAGAGGGGCTCGAGTGATCACAATAGAAAATCACGCGACGCGAATAATCGTGGCCTGAAATCGGGACGGCTGATCGCGTTCTCGATGCTAATGGTTAATATCCGAGCGTTTCCTACCCGGAATTCGTATCTACCAATCGAACGAATCTGCGAGTATAATGAGATCCGTAGGTACGTTCGTTTCGTCCCGAAGAGGCGGCCGTGCACGCGTGTACGCGCGTAATGCGCGCTCGGAAATAGCTGGGCTGCACGCGGAAGAATCCACGGGATGGAAACCCATCAGCGTTTCCATCGCGAAAATCGAGCGTTCAGAATTTAAATGGTTCCCCGGTTTAATTCCGTAATGCTGGCGTGCGTTCGCGGAAATTATATAACAGAACACGTGCAATTATTCCTTTCCCATTACGTTAATTTTTCTCGTAGCTCGATGAAGGAAGTTCGACGACCTACGCTAGCCGAAACCTCGTGGCTAGCTCAGGTTGGAGTTGAAATTTTCTGACTATTTTTGGTTGGATTATCACGGATTCGATGACTGTGCGACCTTCTACCGGTTTTGACTCGTGAAACTTTTTAGTTAGAATATATTCGATCCGAGTACAGTTAGGTTACGTTGGATTAGTACTATTGTAACGACCTCGAATTGCAAAAATTTGTAGTTAGATTGCTGTAGGTTCGATAAACTGTCACAGGCCGATCTTTAACTTGTGTAACAAAAGTGTCGCATACAAAAAATGTTGCACGTATTCAAAGTACTGATTCTATGAAATTGGAACACATTATCTAAAAGACCGAAGCACTGATTTTATGAAATAGGAACACAGTTACTCAAAAGACTGGTGATGCTAGAAAAGAACGATACTAAAACTGTACTTTCTAATGCCTCGAACACAAGGAAAAATTGAATTTAAATAATAAAATACTCTCTCCACGTCAGACTCACCGTCACCATTTAAAGTTCCGTCCACCTTCATCCCCCTGTTTCGCTATTCTATTTCACCGTCGCGTAGGGTATTTTTCTCACACTAATTCGGCTTCCATCGACCAAGCCACGCTCGACTCGCGAAAGGAAAGAACGGAGAGTTACCTTGCGATATCTCCTCGGTCCAAGTTCAACGTCTCTACGCGCCCAATCCTCTCATTCCCGAAGGCGCCTTGCGTCCAGCAGCCGTTCGACTGACAGACCCACGCCGAAGTGACGCACCACCGCTGCTCGCAGCCTCGCAGCAGCGTCCTTCGTCGACCTCCAGGTATCTGTGCACAAAGAAATTCGACTTGACATGTTCCACCGATACCTGAACGTCTGGCGAGGGTCGTCGCGGTCCACGATTTCCATTCGGTTCGTCGGTTAATGGCCCGAACCCTGTGTCCTGTCCGCCAGTTTCGGTGTTTAAAACGGCGAAATTTCACGTGACATCGGACAAAGCTGGCTTACGCAGCGAATTATTGCGTTAACTATTCCGACGTGTACCCCTGACTCGATTTGGTGCGTTTTGTGTGACGAGATTTCACTCCTGGTCCAGAGGGCATGCTTCGATGTTGCAGCACGTTCAGCAATCTTTGATAACCGATGATACTATTCAAAGGGAATTAGTAGATGATAATCGACTCATTTTAGACAATTGTGTTGTAATTTTTCAGGAGGTATCGTTTCACAAATTTCTCACACGCTCGTGCACGACACCGTTCAGAAGAAAAATTAGAGGTAAGTATGAAATTACGACTCACTTTTCGCAATAGAAAAATTTCGACGAGATTAGAAACGCTTGCGTCAGCACGAGTTTGGCGCGTGGGCGAACTGAACTCTCGTGTAGCAAAAAATGGAACGAAAGGAGCAGAGAGGACGCGCGAAAAAGGAATGATACGATGAGAAGGAATCGAGGTGGGGGAGAGGAGTCAAAGAGATAGAAACGGAGAAGAGAAGATCGACTTCAGTGGCGGACTACGGCAAAGGCCAGATCGGAGGCTTTGGTAGAAGAATTAACCAATTGTATTTTCAACTATTTCCAATTCAGATTGAATCTAATTAATTAGAAAAAAGGAGTTCTATTATTTCATGAAAGTATTTTATGGCATGATTAGTTTGATTGAATGGAAATGGTGTTCATCGATGAATTGAATTGAACCGAGTTAAAGAAATAAATAGAACTGACTTGAACATGAACTAGAATTCGATTCAACTTGCACTCGAAGTAAATTGAATTAAAAGTTGAAAGGAATTAAAGTCATCTACTCCTCTTTTAGTAGGACGCCAATGATGACACCTGGCGCCCCGCTATTTTTCAATATTTCTCGTCGAAAATTTCACCAAATATACTTCAAAGTATACATGTTCATGTATTCAAATTGAGACATTTTACGCTGTATACTTTTCACGTTAAAAATTCTCTAAAATCTGCCAGCGTCTCCTCGATGTCAAGTTTGTTCGCGCAACAAGGGTCAGAAAAATATCGTTGTTTAGGGCCCCGTGGAGGGTAAATCCGCCACTGGTCGTCAGTAGGTGGACGAAGGAGGATGAAACTGGACTCGTCCTCGTTAATTCCCTTGGAACAGAGGTGCTCGACTGGTTCGTTAGCTCGATCAAGTTGCGTTGCAATAAGCAGCGTCGCGCTCAAGAATCGGGCGAGACCGGAAGCGCGTTTATCGAGAAACGGTTTCGGTCACGACCCGCGATTGTTTTCAAAGGCAACAAAGAACCTTTTTGCTTGGCTGCCAGCGAAAAAATCCCATTTCCAACCAGCGATCTCCATTCGCCGCTTACGGGAACAAACGGCTGGGACTTGTTCGCCAAGTCATGGGGAACGGTTAACGCTTTATGGTCTGTCGACGACAGCGACGGGGTGTGGGAGAGGAGTGACAAACAATTATTTCGATAAAATTGGTACGGGAATGGTAGGAAAGTTCTGTGTAAAATATTAACCAACCATCGACTCGGTTAACCGTGATTTCAATTTCAATGGGAGAAGCTTTTGATGCTTTGGAGAAATAAAAGGGAGACGAGAAGAATTAAACTTTTTCGTTAATCGTCAAGCTTGAGCATTTTTTATAGCCTTATAATGAATGGAATGCAATTTTACTGAATTGAAACATTGATCGAATCGAACTGGAACTCGGTCGAGATAAGCAATTGGACCGAACAGATGATTTAATAAAATTGAATTCGATTCAGTTCTATTTAAAATTAAATTCAAGGCAAGTCAATTCCATTTACCCTTCAATTTTATCCTTCAATTTAACCTCCAAGTAAATAATATTGCTTGAAATTTTAATCCGGATAAAAATTTCGTCCATCTTTGACGCCAGGCGTGGGAGAGGAATGTTTGTATCCAGTGTTCAGGTGTTTGAAATTCGAGTAGAGGGAACGTAGCGTCAGAGAGTACGATCATATGTGTAGCTCGGTTGTTCGAGCTGAGTCGAAAAAAAAAAAAATGGAGCCGTAGCTCTCTAGTGCCCATGAAGCAAGCAAGACACGGGTCACCGAGCAACATTTTCCTTCCACGAAGCGTGGAGATCTACATAGAGCCAATTTGTTATTCAGTATCACACGCTTGATTCATTGGACGGGGTCGACCTTTCTCGATAAGATCGTTTCTGTAGCTGAGTGTACTTTATTTTTACGTTTCTTACAACGCGTCGTATTCAAAGCAAATTATATTCAGGATTGAATTGACGGCCAAACGGAATTGAATTGAACCGAATTCAGAGAAAATGAGATGGAATCGAATTAAAATCAATGCATAACCGAATCGAATCGAATGGAACTGCGAAGAAAATGAAAATGGATTGAAAAAGTAAACGTAATCGAATTTAAAATTATTAATAAGGCACGAAGAATATTTAAAGTTGCATGAAATTTATATTCATCGCATCGAATGTGGGGGTTGAATGTCGCACGAAATTTCTCAACTTTCCGAAGCAATCGATCGACAGAAATTTTCTACTGAAAGAAAGCCCGACGAATTTGACGGATATTAATCACCGGCTTGGTAGTCGAGCCCACTTTACCCGATCCCAGACGCGTTGAATCGGAGAAAGGGATCCATTATCGATCTCTTCCGGCGAGTAATTTATGAACCGACTGCCGATAAACCGCTTCTTCTGCGCGAAATCGCGTCACTATTCTTCTCCACCGTGACCGTAATCGTCTTCGATTCTAAGTAAGGATGAACAATACTTTATTTAAAAAATGAAGAGCAAATAAAATTGAAAATTGACGTTCAAGTTCGTTCAATTCTCAATTTAATTCCATTTAATCCGATTTCAATTTCAATTCAGTTCAATTCCAACGGAAGCGTTTAATACCGAAACTCAGATATTAATATTAACCCAATGAGTAACGAATAAGAGGTCCTTTACCTTTTACCCGTTACTCGAAAACGATTATTTAGAATAGAATCATGCCCGTCTGCGTTTCCAGGAACCATGATTTCATCGACGATTTGACGAGCTCGTCCGCTGGTTCTTCGAACAGCTCGAAAATCGTCAAACGACAGACGGGACCACGCTAGCTCTCGACGAGCGAATTTATGAGTCGCTGAAACGTTATGGTGGACTCGAGCCAGCGAATGTTTTCGCAGCTGAAGCCCGTCACGGTTATGCAAAGCGGCAGTAAGCGTGAAGCATAGAAGCTGAATCGCGATGTTTGATTGTCAGAACAGCTTGATTCAAGCGAACTGTCGTCTGTCACTAGTCTCACTTCTTTCATTGTCATGAATCAACGCTGACTCACAAGGGGAAGGTCAGTAGCAGGGATATACGAATAACGAATGAAAGATAAACACCGGCTCGTATGTCGCTCGTTAAATACACATTTGGAATTCAAATTGGAGAATTCAATATTTCGGTGAATAAAATCAAGCTTCGATCGAAGAAATGTACAATGGTTTCATTCGTCGCTTATATTCGTCATCATTCGAATACTCGAAACGTTTACTATTTTTATTCACTTCCAAGTAGATGACGACTTAATAAAAATCTGCAGTAGTAAGCTGAACATTTCATTGGAATATTAGACGACGAATGAAGACGTCGTACATTCATTTATTCATCACGATTATTCCATCGAATCCCAATTCACGAGAGCTCCGAATTCGTCCCAGACATACGATTTAATTTCGTAATATAAATTCCAATATCCGTTCGTGCGAATCTTTCCTTCGTTGTTAATATTTATTTAAATGAAAATTTCTTCACGTCTCTTTCACGGTCACGTGACGATCACGAAGACAGCTCCAGGCAGAGACGTTTACGTTCACGGCTGGACCAGGTAAGTTTCCGATCGACGTATCAGAAATTACGTACCCGCAGAAGATTGATACGCTGGCCTGATTAGAGGTACGACTGATGACGAAGAGAAAGGTGGGGGGTGTGAAATGCACGAGTTGGGAATGAAACGAACCTCGATCGATTAAAGCCACGGACGGCACTTCCTGTGGCGCGATCGTCTAGCGATTCCCGCGGATTATAAGACGTGCGTCGTGGTCAGTCGACGACGTAATACTGGGAAGTCGAGAGAGTTCGGCTGGTGGTATATTTAAAAAGCAGAAACGCTGCGACGTTCGCGTTACGACGGACCCAACCGTACGGCTGACAAGCTTGCCGCGGTGCAATACTATTGGCACGTACAGTCCACGAGCACATGCTCCCGACGTGCATTGTTTCCACCGCGGGAAGTTAAAAATAAATCCCTAACGAAAACCGCGGGGAAACTCTCCTGACGTTTAGGCCCCTAACGAATCCGTCTTGGCCCCATAATGGATCGATATTAGCACCAGTTCGCCGAATACTCAACTATTCGAATATAATTCAAATACTTTCCTATTCAAATGTGATACCAATCGTTGGCTATTCGAATTTAATTCGAATACAGTTTTAATACAGACTTGAATAGTTGACTATTCAATAATTCGAACGCAATATTACTCGAATATAACCACCACCATTTTGATTTGATTTTACTCATGGAAATTACGGTATATCTACGTCAAATATACTTTACACACAAACGACTACTTCAAGTATCATCGAATACTCAGGTATTTAAATAATCTAATATTCGAGTAATTATTTAAGCGGTCAAATATTCGAACAGTATCGAACTACTCGACCAACTTCCGCCGAATATTTTATTTCCCCGAATACTCAAATAAAAAAAGATCGCCCAAAAATGTCCCAACCGAACACAGGGCCCTTTTCGCAGCAATCGTCAAAGTTTCCGAATCAGGAGGGGGAACAACAGTCCGATCACGAGATAAAGGGGAACGATATGACGGGCGCTCTTCGCGGTGAATTGCGGCTACGATGAAACCGAACACTTGTTAATCGAATTTCCGCGCCTTTGCAGAACGGCGATTTTTAACACGTCCAGATATTTTTTTTTTGTCTAGCGCGTAACGATCGCACCGGCGCGGCTTCGCGTGAAAATGGGTAAAACGATACGTTCGTCGCGCGAGCATTGTGCGATCGTTCCGCCGCTACGGCGAAACGAGGACGCGTCGAATGAAAAATCGAAGGCAGACTCGCTGTTCAGCGACAAGGAGAGAAAAAAAAGGATACGCAGTTTCCGGGAATCTCTCGAGTAAATGAGGCCGCTTTCCATTTTCGCTGGCCGATTAATTAGCTCGAACGGAGGAACGTCGTTCTGCGGTTAGGATAACGCGTTTCCACCCATTTTCTGACTATTTTATTCGTGGCGACTTTTAGGTAACACCTGCAAAGCGTGGAAATAGGAAACGAATTCTGTTGTGAGCATTATGGAATCAGTTTTTAAAAATAACTGTCCTATTTCGTGCACGTAGTGTTCTTCAACTCTTTATCTTAAATTCAATGGAATTGACTTGAAGACTGGGATGGAATTGTATTTGATTGAAGTGAACTGAATTAAACTGATTCGATAACTAGTTTGAATTGAATTGTCTACGACCAATGTTCAAATGTTCTAGAAACCCAAAGTTGATCCTAGAGAATATTGATGAAGACCTGTAATAATCACATAAAGTATTTAAAAATAATTCCAAATAAAATGAAAAATTCATGTCATATATCGATAATGTTAATCGTTTCGAAGATCTATTCTTCTCTGCACAAAGCAGCTTCATTTACGTACGCGGATCACAATAATTAAGAAATCTATTGGCACCAGAAATTACATTTGTTGAAAACTAATTATCAGTGACGAGTAATTATTTTACCAATAGCATCGTTATAGTCGATTATTTCTTTTAAAGTTGCACCTGTGCAGGTGCGAATCCTTTTCAGCGTCTATAATTCCTTCACCTCAACGCGATCGCTCAATATTCAACAGAATTACAATATCATTCGAGTAGTGTCTTCCATATACAATAATTATTATATCAATTAGTCTTACAACTGCCAGCAACCAAACACGCGGCTGTCATGTTGCAGGACGATCAATGCCATCATTGATCCAGAGTCTGTTAGAATTTGTATTATTTGGCAGAGCATACGTCTCGATTTCAAGGTTCTGGGGTAAGTGCCATGCGGTTTGCCATAGTCCTCTTACCAGAAGGCATCTCTGCCTTCTCTAGATCCTTAGGAACAAGACCCCCTTTACCAGTTCACGAGAGTGCATGGCTTACGTCAAGGGCCTATTCAGCTTCGACCTAATTATTAACCTACAAAAAGCGAAATAATGTCGTGCAAGCTACCATTGCAACTTGAGAGACAAAATTCGTTGCAATTTTAGAGAATAGTGCTATTTTCACAAACACTAGATACATTCCGAAGTTGATGTTGCCATAAGCTTATGAAATAAAAAAATAAGACTTGAAAGAATTGAATAGTCTTTATAGCCTATTGGGAACTCTTAACCTAGAGCTTTCCTCCAATGAGCAGGGAAAAGCCCAACCAATCCGCCATTACTGATACAACAAAAAGGCACTCATCGTTGAAACTTGAGTGGTCTCACTGCTCCAAGCAGAACACTGTAATTTTCTTTAACGGTCTCGAGACCATCTCCAAAAACAATCTCAAGATATATCTATTAAAGAACTAAGTACGAAGATCAACCAGCCACAATTGAGCCAACCTCTGACCTAGAATCCCTCTACAGAAGGAACAAAGCTGATATCTCCATTAGACTCAGCCAACAGCAGGTTCCCTTAAAAACAGACTCGCCAAAGAAACTCTCCGACGAAGTCCTCCGTTCCCCCTCCTCCCTCAAGTCGATGAAACTGCAGTCCAGGACACGAAAGTTCGCTTCGATTAACAGATGGGAAACACGTCGTTAGCCCGGTTCAGCGATCGCTCACCGACCAGTCTTCCATCGATCACCGCGCAGTCGAGCAAAGGGTGGAAGGCGGTTGATCTTTCGACGGTCGTTGTTTGCTCGCAGCTAGAGTCTTGGAACGGCCGCAGTTTCCTCGTGGGGGCGATCCGTCAGTATCACGTCCTGATCGCGAGCGAGACCCGGCGTCGTTTGTTGCGCTCCGATAATAGATGTCCCGCTGGAAGGTAATCGTTGCGGTAGTTTCTCGCGGTATCGATTCCTCAATTGGGGACGGATCCGAATTGCGCCTTGCGTATTTAACCTTCCAGTTGGGGTTCTCGTGCTGGCTGAGGCCCTTGTACCTTCGCTGGATAACAACCTCTCCGTACACGTGGTACACGGAGGCTTATGTTCGTTAGAGGACGTCATCTAGGGTAGGGTATTTGAACGTGATCTTCGGAGACCTTAGAACGGGACTTTCGATGGGTCGAGGGGGTTGAAGTATGTTCGTTGGATTGTTTCTGAAGAGGAAGGCAGTAGCTATGTTTTTTGTAAATCCGAGCTTCGAGGGATTAGTAGCTTTTATATTGATAGGCGAGCGGCACCGCTTCGAAGCCCTTTCAGGGTGCTTTTCTGTTTACAACACCTGGTTATTTGCGTTGACAGACCAAGCTGGAGGAATGTAAACTACGGTTGGTGTCACTCCATTTCAAGTATCCCTAACGCAGATTTCTTCAACAACCGAGGCAGAACCAGTATCATAGTTGGGCGTGATTCTCTTGTTACTATGAATGTCCACTATGTCTTTTGAATGCGAAGAAAATATATTGCGTTTCGTTTAAAAGAAGGAAGACGACCTTCATATCTCGGAGCCGCCTCCACCCAGAACAAAATAATTACCGCCACCTTTTTCCTCCCACGAAACTTGTTACTTTTCGTCTGAACAATTTTTCAATACGATTTCTAGTTTTACAGATAATCGAGTCGGTCACCTTATAAGGATCACCCTGTATACTTCTGTATATCTAATTAAGATGCAACTGATCTATACCAGGCAGCGTATAATGTATTCCAGCGGGGAGCTTGTTAAACCTCCGCTCGCCTACTTAGGGGATAACAGAGGCTTAGTTTGACTGATTAATAATTTGACACATGGAAACATTAAGGATATCGTCGGTGCGCGGTATCGACCACGTGGAATCTGTTGCAACTCGAAGGACAGAGTGGCGATGAATGATTGAACGAACGGGATTTCACGGATCACAGGATGAACCGTCATCGCGGAAATATGTTTTCCGAGAGGATTGCTTTGAGCAAACTGATGAGGACCCGGCTTTAGTAAGAAGCTCAGAATTCCGAGGAAACGTAGCTCATGAAATAAACGGCTGAATATTAGCAATGCATGGTTGGTAGGTAAAGTACGATCGGTTAGTAGTGGAGGGTTCAAGGGATGATTCAGGATCGTCATGAATATTTGATCGATATCCAAGGTACCACCGTAATGAAGAACAGAATAATTGTTGTGTAGAAACTAGGAAGCTCCTCGTATTGCCAATAAATTACCAGTATTTTCCCACGAAAATGCAAGATCAGTGTCTTTACGAGATGAACCTGGGACTATCTCTTCTCTACAACTCGCGGAAGAATATTTTTCTACGGTAACGGATGAGCTCAAAGACTTATTTGCTACGCGTATTTTCCTTTCTCTGGGAAACGGAAATTCCACGGCGCTACTCCGCTCCTAAGATGCAGTCTGAGCCTCGGTTAATCGCGTTCCGATTGTTCTCAAGCGTGACGACGTCGACGCTCGCAGCGTCACGTACGCGTCTTCACATCTACCGGTTCCTCGCTCACCACTTACGTAATCGCGTGCACTCCACGCTCAGCCACCGCGGCGCGGCTCCCGATAGAGCTGCGCGTAGTAAAGTGATTCATCTCGAGCGGCCGATAAAGGCCTCGTAAACAAATGCCGCCACTCCAACCGCGTGACTGCGCGATTTTTTACTTCAAAGCGACGTGTCTCGATGTCCCAGCTTCCTCAATCTTTCTTTCAGCGATCGAATACTCGAGTACTCGAATACTTCAGTATTTAAGTATTCGAATACGTAAGAACTTGAAGTGTATTCAAATAAACAAACCTCCAAATACAATCTCAAACAGTCAAGTACCTCAGTAGTATTCAACAGCACAGCTTCTCCAATCGTATTCGAATACACAAGTACAACAGTCAAACCTTCCAAATAGTATTCAACCGAACAAGTACCCTCA